TGCCCATGTAGGGGTGGTTTGACATAACGGCGAACACAAACAGATTTCAGCCTCCTGACTATTTTGTCGCACAGCTGAATACTGCCGCCTCTAGACTGGTCCTGTTGTCTGTTCACATACACATGCAGAATGCTACTCGCTCAGCCAAGAGACACTGGTCTGTTTGGATGAAGACTACTTCTGTCCCTTCTCAATCTCCAACTCTCAGATGCAGTCTGGCTCCATGGCTGTCTGTGTAGGCCTGACAGGCCTGGACACATGCTCCCCATATGTCTGGATTCAAGCAGCTCTAGCAATACATAGGAACAAGGCCTGATTACAAAATACTCTTTTGTGGGCAACAGGGTCACACTGTCCATAGCACGAAATCGTGCATGTGTTTTTCCTGCAATTATGTTTAGCAAGGCAGCAAACAAACACTGTTTCAGTGCAGGAGGACTTTGTACAGCAAGTTCATAGCATAAAAATAAACAAAAAATGTGCTTGCCCCAGCTAATAACTGAATTCAGGTCAGTTCTTGACTAACAATGTGTCGCCTGATGGGTTCCCCAAAGCCAACAGAGGCAGCACTTGTACCTTTTTTTTATCTGTAACAAGCACTAATGTATTTTCTTTGTGTTTGTGTTACTGTTTACAGGCAGTTCGAAATGGTAGTACCAAAAGAAGATGCTGTCATAACAGAGATGACATCTACACTCAGAGATTGGGGAACCATGTGGAAACAGCTTTATGTGGTAAGAGTGTGAATGATCACCAGCTAAAAATGGAGGTTTGCCCCAAAGCACTAGCCTACTAGTGCAATTGTTGTTAATTATTTTATATGAACACCACAATTCAAAACTAGGTTTTTTTTGGTGCTGCAGGTGAGTGCATTTCTGGCAAGATCAACAGGTATTTTCTGAAATTGCTGAAAATCTTCTTAGCCCGAAAAATTAAAGCTGATGCAGCAGCGTTTAGATATGCTTTTACCATGTATGTTCTGCATTCAATTCACAGCCAGACTGGGGGAAATCTAGCTGGCTGGAAACAGCTTTATGTGGTAATAGTGCAAGGATCAAAATAAAGAAAAGAATTATGACCATTTGTAAATTTTCAGGTTTGATTTCGCCACTCTAGGCACTGGCCCACTAATACGGTACAGTTATTACTAATACAGTCCTGGTTTTGCCCTGCTGATCCTCTTACCTAACTGCTGGCTTACCAGATAAAGCTTGTATATTGAAATGCAAAAGAATATTTCCCTTCTTAAATGCCCAAAGACTTCTGGTTGCCAGAGAGCTTTTGGATCTTTGCCTTGTCTTCAAGTTAATTCATGTCTGTCAAGAATAGGCTTCATTGGGGTACTTTATGTCAAATAGTATTTCCACTTTCACTAAGAAAGAAGAGAACATTTCAGTTTTAAATGCAATAAGATAGACTTTGATATTACTGAGCCCTTCAGAAAGTTCTAAGAAAGTTGACAAAATGTCTGCCTTGGAAACTCGCTCACATTAAGTTTTGCAAATTATAATATGTATTGACCATGTAATTTGTTGAATACCCACATTATGTGCATAATCATTTTCTTCTTATCCAAACATTTGGACAAAAGTGACAATAACTTGTTTGTCAAATCTTTGAATCACTTGTGTAACTGTTATGTCACTGTTCTCAAGTGAACTATTTGGCTGCGGAACACAAGTTTATTCAAGAAAATGGCTGCACAACACCGTAAAGGAAGATTTCACTAATTTAGCATTTTGTTGGCAGACATATTTAGGTTTTTTCAACAATTGAATTGCTATTACTAATACTGCTATAAGGTACTTTTTGAAGTTCTATTGGTATTGCTGGAGATTGTAGAGTGAGAAGTTCCCTGTATAGCATTTGTCCTTTGTCGAGTGAAATAATTGTTCTGTATTCCTAACAATACAGCCTTTCTATTGATTTGACGCTCATAAAAATTGTTGGAAATATGTTGGGGAAAAAACAGTTTTATTAGCATGCTTGTTGCTGGTCGGGGCAAAGTTAATAATATGATGCATTTTGTCCTTAACCCTTTTGTGTGCAGTGGTAACTAAAACCTGTTAACTGACCAAAACTATTTTTGCAGTTTTTGTCAGTTTACTCAACAGTAACGTTTGAACAACCTTTTTTACCAAGATGATTTCACAGAGTATGCGACTTTTAGCTGATGAATTGTTTTTTTTAAATATATGTCTGCATATATTTCTTATGATAAGCAGAAAGACCTAAAAAAAGGCTACTTTTAACCTGTTTAACACATAATATTTAATACCATTGCAAATATTTGACTTAAATATAGATATAGATAAGATATAAAGTTTAAAAAAAATTGCATGTTTCATTGGCTCTAATTGAGGATTAAAAATCTTAACAAAAAATTGATCTGCAAAAGTAGACACCCCAGGGTATTTTATATATAAATATAAACACTTTTTTTTACAAAGATATCATTTTAAAATTACGTAACATTCACACCACGAAAATTAGGAAAAGCACAGTTTCTTGCTGAAGTATCCAAATAATCCTAAAAAGACATTACTGAGAAATATGGATACCACTGGATGTTAAATAGGGGTGATTTTGACACTACTTCATTTACCAATATTTATTAAATGTTGATCAAGAAATAAGGATAGCACTAATAACCTGACAGTTGTTCTTATACCTCACCACTTTACCTAAAACTAAAAATGGCAAACAATGGAAAATGTGGGAGTGAAATGGTATATAAACCTATAACATTTTTACTATTTTTTTTTTTCTTAAAGCCATCCATTATATTTTAGTATGAAAAAGCATCTGCCATGCCAATGCATCCTCAGCAGTACTGGTATAGCACTTTCTAGAAAGATTTGTAACATGCAAGTGAGGTCACACCTATAGGGTTGTCTTGCATTTCCCCAGTCCCTGTCTGATTTGAAGAAGACCTGTACTGAGAGAAACATCAGTGTTACCAGTGTTGACCTCTTTATGAAGGTGATAGCTGCCTGGCAGTCCTGTGTACCTTTGACCCATACTTTGAGTTACTGACCTGGAACATGCATGTAGCTGCATCTAAGTGACCGGGGAGGTACTGAGGCTGTTTGATCATCAAGATAGGCAGGCAACTAGAATTTTTAAAAGGAGAGGTCAGCAATGGCAGCCTCCATATTTCTCTAGGCACAAGATTCTTCTATAGGATAACTGTACTTTTCATAGAAAGCTATCCTTTTTTTTCTTTACCACAGATGTATACCACAGATGTATTCCACATATAAATGTAAGGGCTACAACTGTGCAGACACAGCTGCCTCAAAGATTTCAGCAAGCGGTGCTGAAGATTCCTGCAGACTACAGTCATTTAGGAAAGTATATATCTGAGTTCTATGAAAATACAGTTCTCCTTTAAATATCTCTCAGGGTACTTTTGGTCATCTAAAATGACTACATTCGCCCTAAAGTAGCTGTCATTATTACACATTTGTTGAGTTGAATATACTTGTGTCAGTATTAATGACACCAGTGAAGTGGTAGAGATTTCATAAGAGAAGACGGTATTTAAGAAAAGACAGTGTTCCTGTTTAAAAATGGATTCAGTCATTGGGAATGATTAAACTTGAAAGTCTACTTATTAGCTAGGCAGAATATGTTCTAACTAGCAGTACTAGCTTACATTGATCCGACAGGCCTGACACACACTAAAGAATGTATTTCTCTTTTTCTGTTATAGAAGAATGAAGGTGATCTTTTCCACCGTCTTGGTCACATAATGAATGAGATCCTGGATCTGCGCAGACAAGTTCTAGTGGGGCACCTGACTCATGATCGAATGAATGATGTAAAACGGCACATCACAGCCCGTCTGGACTGGGGAAATGAGTGGGTAACATACAGTCAGCTCACTGCTGTTCAAACACTGTAAATGCTGCAGTAGCAGCAGCTTTGAATTCTTATATTTTATATAAAATCATTGCATCTGAAGTAGCTTTCTTCTTGTATATAAAAAACAGAAGCGCATATGAAACTTACCCATGTTGAAGGCTGCAGTTTTGCTAGGACACGATTAAAGAGTATGAGCCTGCTTGCTGTATACAGTGCACCTAAAAAATATACCTTAGTGTGTCACAATTGAGAGGCTCACAGACAATCATAAACCTGAAGACAAAAGAATATTTTTTTTCTGTGTGCAGAAAATTGACATGGAGCCAACACATTGTTGGAAATGGGAACTTTATCAACCCTTTGGTTGCCATGGACGTAAGGGTTACGTCAGAACAACACTTCTTGCAGAAGGCTGGTTCAGTAACCCTTAAGTCCACTGCATTTTCTGATCCTGTAAGCTCATAGGTGCTTCAGCAACCATGAACTTAGACTTGAATATTACCTGACACTTTGTCTTTTACTGAATGGATGTGATTAGCAGCTGACAAGCTAACTTATCCCATCCACACAGAATATAAACTTGATGGCTTCAAAGCAGCTTCCCTGCACAGCTTTGAGAGTGTGATCAGGCAGCTGAATGACTGCTGATCACATCCAAAAGTCTACAGTTTCCTTCAGTTTTCTGAACAGTGTCCACCTATGGTGTTCCCTCCTTTGTCCCCCTCCAGTGTCACTTTCACTGATCCTTCCCATCTCAGTACCTGTTCTGCATTGGTGATCTCTAGCACCATCTTCTTCAACTGTCAGCCTGCTTTTCTGGCTCAAGTTTAGTTATTACTTTGGCGATAGCAAAGGTATCTTTGGTTCTCTTTAAAGGGTTACTTGATTCCTTGAGGGAAGACATGACCTCGACTTTCCAGTCATTCAGTGTTGTACTGCATTGTTTTTTTTTGCTGCCATTCCACTTCTTCCTCTGCCTGTCAGTCTAATCGCTTTGCCAGTTCATGGTGGTAGTATTATCACAGTGGTTTCCAAAAATATGCAAGACTTCTCTAGTGAAGTTGAAGGGGATGAAACTACCGAAGAGGAAATACCAGAAGGTAATGACTTTTACCTTCTGATGAGATTGAAGAGCTCCTAAAAGCAGTTTACCCATTTACGATCTTGCAAATTACCTTACGAGTTAACCATCCATGTTACAATTTACAAGGGATTCCAGGACAAAGTTCCATACTTTCCCCATATATAATAGTTGAAGTCTATATAGCATCATTCTTACTTTATAGTCTAAAAAGGAAATGTCCCCATGCTGAAGATGATTTTAAACTGTGGGACAAATGTCCCAAAATAGATGCATGCCTGTCACAGGTTTCTAAAAACTCAGACCGTTTGATATGGGAGTCCCTAAATATCCTATGGGAAAAAGGTGAAATTTCTAGGAAAAAAAGCATTAGGAGTAGATGCCTACAATTTCAGACCAGCGTTGGCTATAACACATCTGCACTTTGGTCCCCTGGTTAGAACAATTATAAACCCACTTGGCAGATCTTGAAATCAAATCCAACCTTGCCCAAGGCCACAAAATACATCACGGATGCTTCTGCAGAAGAGGTGTGCATAATGGGTGGTGCCAAAACCCTAGTAAATTTAGCAACTGGGCCTTATGGCTAAACAAAAAGACAAAGCATCCCATATCTTAATATAGATTATAGGGTACACCTTTTGATGGGGACCTTCTCTTTGGTAGCAAGGTAGAAATTAAGTTGGATAGGTAAATTAGTAGGGAAAAGGCTTTCCCACAAAGAAACCCTTTTGGAATCCTAAGTTTCAAGATGGGAAATACAAAAACAATGCCCACAATAACAATAAATATAAATAGTATCGGGGTACTTTATCCCACTATTTAGTTAGTCACAAAAAATCCAATTATCTCAAGCATCATTTGTATGGGATATAGACTGGAATTCTTCACTGTTGTCCTATTAAAGGTTATGGTTCCATTCCATCCTTTACAACAAGGTCAGGATTTTATGCTCACATTTTTCTGTGGCAGAAATCCTCAAGGAAATGCCACGTTATTCTAAACTTAAAACCCTCGTCTCAGTCATTCGGATACAAAAACATCAAGATGGAGTCCATCCTTTCTCTAAAGAAACAGTTGAAAGGGGGCGCATTTATGCTGACGATAGATCTAAGAGATGTGCATGTTCTGATTTGGAAATCTTCACAGAAGGTCCTAAGGTTTGCTGTTATGGTTTGCCAGGGCACAAAATATTGACAAAGGCCTTCTGTTTGGCCTATAGTTCACACTTTTACCAAAGTTATTGGAAAGCTTTGATTCCCCTAACAAAAAAAGGGAATTTCTGTAGACCAATACTTGGATGACCTCTTCTTGTTTGCCCAAATACATTTTTACTGATGAAAGAGACTTTCGATCATCTGGAGAATCTGGGGTGTGCCCGTAAACATAGAAATATCAATCTGATACCTGCCTACAAGTGAACCTTTCTAGACTATGAGATAGAATCCACGGTTTGAAATATCTCCCCACAAAAACTTTGGAATTGTTGATGCTTTGCTGGTATCTCCAATGTCACTTTCAGGTTATTCATGAGTTTGCTTGGTCTTATGACTTCCTCTATGCCAGCAGGACATTCTGGATGTGTAATTCAAGACAATTGCAAAACTTTTTTCCTGGCAAACTGCAAAGGTTTTTACAGAGTGATGGACATTCAGATCCTAGTACCATAAATAGTCAAACCCAGTCTGATATTGTGGAAAAAACACTCAACACTGTCTAAATGGCAAGTGTGGCTTCTACACAAACCTTGCATCAACAGATGCAAGTTCTTGAGGACTCTGACTAAGCCATTAAGTGTGAAATTATTTAGTGTATTTCACAACTGAACATCCTCTGTAAGATGTCTTATTTATAAATTGGTGAGGAATGGGTTCTGAGTATGGATCATTTAAAAAAAAAATTGGTTTATTTTTGGTTACGTTTTAGAGCAGGGTTGTCTTAAATAAGTCTGTGACTCAGGCTCAGACATTTGAATGACAGGTAGCAGGGATTAGTACCATGAGGGAGTGGAGCTTCAACTCTGGTTGAAGAGAGATTGAGGTCATGTTTACAGCCTGTGCCCTGTAATCAATGGGAATCCAAAGGGCAAGGAAAAAATTTGAAAATACAGATCATACAGCCCTAAGCACGCCAGAATAATGCATTCGTCCTCATTAACTTTCATTAGTCTCATTGTGAAAATTAAAACCAGGTTGCAATAATGGAGTCAGATTGCTGTTTTTAGATATTTTGTTTGACTGAGCAGCCCGCAAGTTTAGTGCTTATGCAAGAGATGGTTTTTGATACAGTAAACATCAAACCCCCTCACCCACCACTTGTTCTTCTCCTGTATTTTGTGAAAAAATTTTGAAAATGGAAAAGTAAATAGAAGTTGCAGATATTGTGATTTGGATGTGTTCCCTTTTACTCTGCGGCTTTAAGCTTTATGCTCTCTGCTTCAGGGTAAATAGTACCCTGTTTTACGGGATTACACATTTTACACCATGCTCACCACTGCATAGTGAGCAGTGAGCTAAACCTTTGTGCTGGCTACATTTGTTATTAAAACCTTTGTGAATTTGCAAGATACCTTGTGATGCTGTGCCTTCTATTTTAATGTGTTTGGATTGTATGGGGGGCAGCGGGAGCTCACTTTTGAAGCAAACACATATTTTTACTTTTTTGACCAGCAATGTTTCTAAATACTGTACTATATTTCTTATACATGAACATTTCTATATTTATAAAAGCCACTCCGTGAAAACAGCCTTACCAATTTACTGCTGCTATGTGTAATATAGCCTGATAATAGGTTTAGTGCTGTTTAGTAGTGGTCGGACAACAGAAAAATCACTGCTGATAATGTGGATCTAAACTGTACACCAAGCCTACGTTATTTCAGAAACCACTCTGTCCTAACACTAACCTGATAAATTTTATTTGTCAAACTTGTATACCTTTTACTTACAAAAAACACAACCTCCAGTGTCCTTATATATCTAAAGCTGCATTATTCTGGATGTGGAATGTATTTAAATATCAAAAGCTTTAAGAAAGGATTGGATACATCTTCAAGCCGAAATCACCTTTTAAAGGATAGTTATATTTTCCATACCCATGCAATTTTTAGCTCCCACTTCAGACCTCAGGTCCAGTGGCGTAACCAGAGTAACAGGCGCCCGGGGCAGAACAAAATTTTGCGTCCCCCCCCTGTGATATGTGCGGGTGTACAGGTAAAATGAGAGCATGCTGGGACATATCATAATTGAACTACAAGTCCTAGCATACCCTCATTGTCCCGCTACACCCCCCAAAATATTACAATCAACTGGTTATCATACAAGTGGGCCATGGTATTTTTTAATCACCTTTTTTTTTTTTTAATAAATCATTTTTTTCTTATTATTTTTCACTTATTTTTAATCATTTTTTTTCACTTAACTTTATCGCTATCACACAGGAGCTAACAAGCACCTGTGTGATAGCATTTGGAGGTGACAGGTTCTCTTTATTGAACCTGTCACCTCCAAGACAGAAGTTCTAGCGCAGCACTGTGCTGGAACTCCTGTGACAGGTGAGAGGGGAAGACTGCTCTCCCCTCTCACTGTTTACACGGTGCGGCATGGTTACCAGGGATCCCAACCTGAAAAAAGCAATTTCAGGGAGGTGCCCTTCTCATTTCAGGGAGGTGCCCTTTGCCCCCCCCTCATCTGCTGGGAGAAAGGGGGGAGGAGAGAGCGCACCCCCCTGAAATGATGGCAGATAGCACAGGAACCAATAGCTTTTTTGCTTTCTACAGGTTTTTTTTTTAGTATTGTCAGCTGCCACCATCAGAATTAAAAAAAAAAGTAAGTAGGACGGCTGCAGTCTTTGTACAAGTGGTCTCGGCGGCATCGCTTCCCCGCACTACATTTAGTCCTGCTTGTGCGAAGCAGGA